TACTTAATTGTGGCTATATTAAACACGTGATTAACAACACTTAGGTGCACTATGTTGCGTTCGGTTAATAAACTATCTAATTTTAGATAAAGCATTCGCGTTTGTCCAGTTTCCCATAAATAACCACAAAATGATAATTAATTGGACACGATGTATAAATCCGTCTGAAATAATTGTGAAGAACTGCTTTAAACTTGTATATAGTTAGCATAATTTCGTGAACGCGATGAAAGCTTTCTGGATATTATAACAAATGACTGTTCTCGTATTCTGTTCGCAAAAACCAAATTTATTTTAAAATTTATTATTAAAGATAACCGATATTTATTATACAAGGCTATAAAAAACTAATTATTTTTTAGGCTGGATTTGTGAACCACACAACGTCGAGGAAACAATTACCGAAGCCTTAGTGAGACAACTAATCCAGTTAAGTATTTAGTGTGTTGCACTGAGCTTTCGGTCTTCGACGTAAAAGTGGAAGCCTTTTGTATATGTTCACGATCACTGTAACAGATTTTATTTCATCCAATATAATTATCTTTGTGATCCCACATTGGTTGTCTTATTGATAAAGCTGTGAATCATTCTGATTTATGCTTTTTATTGTCAAGAATAGGCACGCAACTTTTACTTTATGAAAAGTTTGTTTTCCAAAAGTTCGAGCACTGAATTATGACATCTAAGTATATTGAGATGGAAAGTCTGAAGTTTTATTTTTTTCAGATCATTTTCTTTGATTGATTGTACATTTCCTTATACTAAGTCTTAACAAGATGTCGGAAAATCGCCAGTGTAAATAAATTAACGCAGTGTATAAATACGTAATCATTGAAGGTATAATTATGACATATTTTAAACGAGTCTTGTTAGTGGTGGTATCATTATGAGCCTGAGCAAAAATGTAAGATCATCTGGTAATGAGTTACCCTGTGCATAAATAAGTACCCTTATTATAGCTGTTAGTAAAAACGTTAGTGTCGTTTTTACGACAGGTAATTACTCAATTATGTACTTGCTTTTTACTAGTAATTAGAAGACGGATCAGACTGATATCTGCTGTGTACATTTTTGTCTTCCCGAGCGTAAGCTAAGGAGGTATTACAAAGGGTCCTCCTGACGAATGACTACTTTCATGTTTTCTGGATGTGATCCCCTATACTACGAAACAATGGGTCTCGGGTTTCCGTTTGTCTGTCTGCCTGCCGTCTGCATCGTTTTTTATTAGACATATAATTTCCAAATATCGTATAGATGGTAAAACACTAACCAAACTTTATTTAATCACCTCACCAACAATATGATGACGTCAGTTCAAAATTGTACACGTAAATCTAATTTAAATTTTATAAAACAACATACTCCTACGCGTGTAGTTTACGAATCCGTCTTGATTGTTATATGCATTCAGATTTTTAGAAGAAAATTAAAACTGTTTAACGCCATTTTAGAATTTTTGAGAACTGCTATTACATGAGTCAAATTTATTTTACTGATTAAATCAAGAACGACCCACTCCACTTTCCGGAAAATTTGGGAATACAAAAGTGTTATTATTAATATTAGAAGTACTGTACTTGTCTAAATTGATGAATGTGTCCTTACAAAAGTGTTAATGACGTCATCACAAAATGTCTATATTTTAACTTACAACGGTTACAAAAAAAAATCACAAAATCAAATCTTAAAATTTTTCGAAAACTCTGGATATGTTGTATTGTACTTCAGGAGCGCTGCAAGTTCCGTCTAAATATCGTTACACCAATTTTTTACTCTATGCATCCAGATTTTTGCAAGAAGATCCAAATTACATCGTAACATTGTAAGAGCACCGCGGTGTTTTAATCTACGTGGTTCTAACATCTAAGTCGCTGCTGCTATTAACTTGTGGATCACTGTTTTTTTATTGATCAAATCAAGAACGATTCACCCCATTTTCTAGAAAATTTGAAAACATAGTAATGTTGGGCTCGTCTATATTTAATAATAATAAAATAAAAATTGTCATAATAAGAAGTACTTACCCAAAATAATATTCAAAACGTTTTGCTCCATTTCAGTTTAGTTAACAATTTTAATCGCATCCTCTGTTTTGAAGTTGTTACGTGCATTCTTTCAAAGTACAGTAATGTTCGGTTATAACGAACCTCATGGGACTGGTAAAAGTAGTTCGTTATATCCGAAGTTCGTTATAAATGATCTCAAAAAAATCAATATATACTTTCATAAACTTAACTATGTATTTCGGTATACAACATTTAAAAGTATTACAAAAATATAAACATGTTAAGATAATAATACAGTAGTACATATAAGAAAAAAAACTTGATTAATAAAAAGTTGATTAAAAATAAAAGTTGTTACTGAGAATAATCTCAAATTTTACGTTGCTTCTTGTGAGAAAAATTAATTTCATTCATATACAATTCTATTTCGCCTAATTTATTTAAAATACCGTGTGGAGTGTTTCGCGCCTGAAGAAAATGACGAACGGCCCTAATGTATTAAACCGCTTGGGAGGGTTTTGGGATCGTTTCCTCTTTTTCTTCTTCTTCGTTATCTTCTTCGTCTTCAGTCTCATCTTCTGTTTGAATGTTGCATTGAACTGATTTAACAATATCATCATCCAAAATTTCAGACTTCACTAAAATGTCGTCAAAATGGACGTATTCTTCGAAGTCGATATCAAATCCATCGTCAGAATTACTTTCATGTTTTCTGAGCCATTCAGCCAATAGTAGTTCGTCTTCTGGTTCAAATTTTTCATCTGTAGAAACCCAGCATGTCGAAAACAGTTAGCAATTGTTTGTTCTGATACTTTTTGCCATGCCATACTGATAAAATTGACAGCATCTAATAGATCCACACACAAGTGTTCCTAACCGTTGTCGATAGAATCAATCATTTTCGAAAGAAGAAGTCGTCGATAATTGTTCTTTAGACTATCTATTATACCCTAATCCATAGGCTGTAATTTTGTAGTGCAGATAAAGCTGACTGGTGAAAAAGTTCGTTGTAATAGATATTTATTTTATTAGGAGTTTAAGTGATACTTTATGTGTCGAGTATGGACGATTAAACGCCGAGCGATAGCGAGGCGAATTAAGTCCATACGAGTCACATGAAGTCACTTAAACTCCGAATGAAATACAATATTTTATTTTCAAACGATTAATCTTCTTTTGAAATGATTGTTTCCTATCTTCTTGCTTCATTAAGGAATTGCCTTGATTTCATTTACCATGGTTACTATGGTTGACAACCACTATGATTTTCACATATTTATACTCCGGCGGAGTATAAATGTTGTATTTATACGCCGGCGGAGTATAAGTAGTACTTATACGCCGCTCAAACACGGTGTCATAGAAATGACACTTAAACCCCGGTAAGAGCGTCATATAAGTGTCAGTTATATGACGTTTGAAAATAAACGATTTTTTTTTCTTCAATATTAAAAATTCGGTTCGTTTTATCCGAAAGTTCGCTATAAGCGGATTCGTTATAACCGGAAAAAAATAACACGTATCTTATGGGACTTCAGTTCGTACTTTGCAAGTTGGTTCATTATATCAGGAAGTTCACTTTAACCGGGTTCGGTATCATCAACTTTGGTGTGTCGGTGTCGGAGAACGTGTCTCAAATAATTTCCTTAGTTTCCCAAATTTAAATTATAAAATATGCCTGTAACCAAGACTCGCTCAAAAAGTGGTGCTAGTGAATGTGTTATGATCAATGTTCAAGATCTTGAAACATTAATAAAAAATGCAGTAACAGAATCGGTGCAACCTTTAATAAACAAGATTCAAAATCTTGAAAAACAGATCGAGGAGCTAAATCAAAATCCATGTCACAAAAACCAAAAGATCAGATTAGGAGTTAAATCCGGCATTAAAAGGGATGACCAGATCGACGAAATCGATGAATTAAATTCGAGTACCGAAACCGTTATCAGCTTGGTCTCGTTATCTGAAGAGAAAGTAAATCCCAAAAAAACACATGAAGAGACTAATCAGGAAAATGACTGGACCCCAGCAAGGAGCAGAAGAAGTAATAGATCAAAGGGAGCAATTGGAATGAAAAAATTGGAAAACTTCCCCACTATTAAAATGGTGTTCAGAGTTGCAGGTGTTCGTTGGCGGCGAACTCTTTGTCCCCCGGCGAATGATGATTGCTTCCGTTGGCGGTTGGTCTCTTTCATAAGACCGACCGACCGACTAAGGCAGCCGCCAGTCACACCGCCAACACCAAACGTGTAAGACCAAGTCGGTCAGCTACTTCCTTAAAAATAAAGCCTTGATTGTGATAAAAGCTGTTTAATTAATTCAGGTCCTTCGAAGCAACAAAATCGAATAGCCATAACACATTGGTTGTACGATACGAAACATTGGTCCATACGAACCGGATGTGAATCAGTTTTAGTGTAGTGATCCGTGATCGCTTACTAGTTTCAAATTCATCAGTGGAGTATAGTGGTTGCAGTGATTGCATTGCTAGTTCGCAAAAGAATATCCAGCATCATCAGTTATCACCACGCCTATTCATCCACGAAGTACAGCATCAATTTCGATCAGGGCTTATTTCATCAATCAGCATCAGCAACACGTTTCTTCATCCACACCAGACGACGGCAGCAGTGGGCAGCATTCTTCTTAGCATTAAGGGATCACCACCACGTCCAATCAATCAACAGTACCCGTGGGTGAAGCTAACAGGCAAGGTCAAGATCCACCCGGGTCCAGGAAGCAGCGAAGAAACTCAACAAAAAACCTGCAGTCGAGGACAGCATCCACAAGAGCGACGCATACCCTCACCAGGACAACAAAGCCAAGGTCAGAGCTATCTGCTTCCTTCCTAATTTCACCCTTTCTTATTAAGGAGTATACATTTCAATATATATATTTAATTTCGGTCACAACATTGAGCGTGAGCAACCTCATAAGGTAACAGTCGCGATTCTTATTTCGATTCTTAAGTCGTAATAATCATTATTTATCATTATGCCTTCGTCAGAAGCATTAATTCGCTCACGCGGCGTAATTAAGGGAAAATTGACAAGAGTAGAAGGTTTCGTAAGGGATTTTAACCCAGATACGCAAAACATAAATGAACTTGAAACACGCTTAGATTACTTAGAAGCTGCGTTTAGAGACTTTGAAAATACGCAATTACAAATCGAACTCGCAGCCGATGATAATTCGGAAGATCAAACCGAAGAACGCGATAAGTTTGAGTCGCGGTATTTCGCGGTCGTATCAACTATCAAAACTCTGATACAAGAACTAAATGAGCGTAAAGGTTCGAAGGCAGGTAAACCCACATCTACAAATTCAAACGAAAACAACTCGTCAAACGAATTAAACATAAAACTACCTGTGTATAATCTACCCACGTTTGCGGGATCCTACAAAGAATGGTTGTCGTTTTCTGATCAATTTATATCCGTAATCCACAATAATGACAAATTAGACAAGTGCAACAAATTCCACTACTTGAAATCGTGTTTAAAAGGCGAAGCCCTTAAGGCAATAGAGGCATTATCAATATCAAACAATAATTACCAGATCGCTTGGGACCTTTTAGAAAAACGGTACGCGAACGAGAGACTTATTGCCCAAGAGCATGTTTATTCTATTTTAAGCTTCCCAGTAATTACCAAACCGTCGCATACCTGTTTACGCGAATTAATTGATAATTTAACAACAAATATAGAGGCACTTAAAACTTTAAAGGTACCGGTAGAAAGCTGGGACGCTATCTTAATACCAATTATTATTGAAAAATTAGACTTCGTCTCGAAAAGAGATTGGCAAGCTCAATTAACTTCGGCAATCCCAACATATTGGGAATTCTTAAAATTTCTAGAAAAACGACATCAAATCTTAGAATCGCTATTTCATACTAGCAAACAAACAGCTGTTCTAAAAACGCCGAGCGCAAACTTTACTCGAGCCCAAAATTTAAGATCAAATAATTACGCGACTACATCGACCTCTAATAGTGGTAGTAAACAAAAATTTTGTGTCTATTGCAAGAAAAATGAACATTACATAAATCAATGTTCAGAATTTCTCAAACTTAACGCGGGCGAACGACGTAGAGCCGTGGATCGAGTACGTTTATGCAAAAATTGCCTGAGAAACAATCACACATTAGAAAATTGCAGATCAAATTCAAAATGCCGAGTCTGTAATCAGACTCATAACACTTTACTGCATGCAATCGACAATCAAGTAAGCTCACCGGAACAATCGGAAACAGTATCTTTGAATTCATATTCTCAAATTAATACATCTAAATCGGGAATTCTCTCCACAGCCATAATTTTGATAAAAGACAAAAACAATAAGTTTCATGAATGTCGTGCGTTTCTAGATTCGGGTTCAATGAATCATTTCATAACTTTAAGGATGTGCAAAAAACTAGGCCTTCCGTGTCAAAAAATAGAGATGCAAATCGGCGGTATCAATCAGTCAGTTAGCAGCGTGAATCAATCAACACAAGTATCAGTGAAATCGAGATATAACCAATACAATCAGAATATTAGGTGCTTAGTTTTAAGTAACATAACAGAAAACCTTCCTATTAATCCGATGGATATGTCAACCATAAGTGTTCCCAAAAATATAAAGCTTGCGGATCCAGACTTTCATCGGCCCGGGCCGATTGATCTATTAATCGGTGCCGAATTGTTTTTGCCTTTAATGTGCATTGGACAAATTCATGTTGCCCCGGGGCAACCACATTTCCAAAAAACCCAGTTGGGATGGATTGTTGGAGGAAACATAAACGCATCCGGTAATAAACCTAGAGCCTTGTGTCATTTTACACGTTCAGATCAGAAATTACACGACCAAGTAAGTAAACTGTTTGAGCTTGAGGACACTAAAATTGTCGCCGACAAAGTTACTCCGGAAGAACGACAATGCGAAATCCATTTTTCACAAACCATTAAGCGGGATGTACACGGGCGGTTCGTGGCGCGCCTACCTTTCAAGTGCACCCCGCCTGACTTGGGAAATTCCCAGCAAGGCGCCCTCAGTCGGTTTCGATCTTTAGAAAATAAAATGCAGAGACAATCGGGTTTTAAGGAGCAGTACTCGGAATTTATGGCGGAATACCTGGAAATGAATCACATGGAACTAATACCGGATCCGAATATAAATTTAGAAAACTCGTACTATCTGCCGCACCACGCCGTGTTTAAATTATCTAGTACGACAACCAAATTGCGGACGGTTTTTGATGCGTCCTTTAAAACTACAACCGGTAAAAGTCTCAATGACAATTTAATGATCGGACCGGTAATTCAAGAAGATCTTTTTTCCATCTTGACGAGGTTTCGAATTCATCCGTTTGTGGTGACGGCCGATATCGCGAAAATGTACAGACAAATCCGAATCGACCCGCGCGACGCGGATTATCAGCGAATACTATGGCGTAAGGAACCCGACGAAGAATTACTAACGTACAGATTGACCACCTTGACATACGGTACGAAACCGGCCAGCTTCATCGCGACTCGTTGTTTGTCCGAGTTAGCCACGCGAAATCAAGATCTGCACCCCACAGCGAGTACTATAATCAAAAGGGATTTTTACATGGATGACCTGTTGACGGGTGCCCAAACGATTTCGGAATTAATTACCCTTCGCGAGGAGATGTCCGCGATCTTAAAACAGGGAGGTTTCGAATTACGCAAATGGGCTTCAAACGTAGCAGCCGTGCTTCCGACCGCCGATAATAGTCATGGCTCTTTAGTAAAATTGGACGATGGCGAATTAACAAAAATCTTGGGTTTACTTTGGGACCCCAAAACCGATGTTCTTAGGTACGACGTAAAACCAATCAACGTCAAATCAAAGGTGACCAAACGAATTATTTTATCAACCATTGCACAGATATTCGACCCATTAGGTCTGATCGGGGCGGTGATGTTAAAGGCGAAATTGATATTGCAGAAACTATGGTCGTTAAAGATCGAATGGGATGAATCTGTGCCACAAGATATCTACTATGTGTGGAGTGAATTTATTAAGGAATTGTTGTATCTTCGCGAATTACACATTCCTAGAAGAATTTCCGATCTCAACGAGATAATTGGGTTTGAACTGCACGGTTTTTGCGACGCCAGTATGAAGGGGTACGGAGCGGTCGTATATGTACGGACGTATGACAAATGCGGCAATTATTCGGTGCGTCTACTTGGTACAAAATCACGCGTCGCACCTCTAAAAACAGTAACCTTGCCGAGATTAGAATTATGCGGTGCATTACTCGTATCAAAACTTATTTGTGCCGTTAAAAAGGCGTTAAATGTAAATATTACGAAACAGTATTTGTGGTCAGACTCTAAAGTCGTTATAGCCTGGCTAAATAATAGTCCACACATGTGGCAAACGTTCGTAGCTAATCGGGTAGCCGAAATTCAAGATCTTACTGATATAGCAGACTGGCGACATGTCAAGGGTGAAGAAAACCCCGCGGACCTAGTTAGTCGTGGTCTTCTACCGCAAGAATTGATCAATAACGATTTATGGTTTAAGGGTCCGACGTGGCTTTGTTCAAACTTCGAAGTAAGATTACCAGAGAGTTCTAGCATCACCGTCGTTCACGTTGACGAAATGCCCGAAAAACGCAAACATGTTGCAGGCGTAATCGCAATAGAAATCAGTACGTCACTACCTATAATGACAAAAATGTCGTCCTTTCACAAATTGAATCGTGTCATTGCGTATTGCTTGCGTTGGTCGGACAGACACAGAAAATCAAAGCAGCAGTTACCAGCGGAAACTGGGCCCTTAAAGGTCCACGAATTACGAAAGGCCAAATTGTCAATTATTCGTTGGGTACAAAAATACGCATTTCCGGACGAATTAAAAACTCTGGAAAGGGGAGAGCCGATTAGCAATAGAAGTCCAATTCTATCATTAAACCCGTTCCTATCAAAGGACAACTTGATCAGAGTCGGCGGGCGCTTAAGAAATGCCAGATTGCAATTTGACACCAGGCACCCGATACTAATGCCAAGTAATCATCATATAAGTAGACTGCTTATTACCCAATATCACCTTGAAAATTTGCATTGCGGGACAGAAGGTACACTAGCGGCTCTAAGGCAAAATTTTTGGATCATATCGGCCCGTAGCGTTATCAGGCAGATTATACACAGGTGTATTCCCTGCTACCGCTATAACCCGAAAAGAATTATTCAAATGATGGGAGATTTACCTGCCCATCGGCTGGAACCCAACAGACCCTTTCTCATTTCGGGTGTGGATTACATAGGTCCCATTTTAATCAGGGAAGCTGCCGGTCGCGGAAAAAAAACAGTAAAGGCTTACATCGCCATATTTATTTGCTTCTCGACTAAGGCGGTTCACTTAGAATTAGTCGGCAACCTGACGTCGGAATCATTTTTAGGGGCATTACACAAACTGGTTTCCAGAAGGGGGCATGTACGACATTTATATTCTGATAACGGTTCAAATTTCGTGGGGGCAGCGAACCAAGAAATGCAAAAACTTAAGCAGTTCCTAAATTCATCCGATTTCCAGTCGAGTGTAATAGATGAGTTGGCCAAAAAGAGCATCGAATTTCACTTTATTCCGGCGCGATCACCACATATGGGCGGGTTATGGGAAGTTAATGTGAAATCAGTTAAAATGTTAATGAAAAGAACGATAGGACTTGCGACCTTAACTTATGAAGAATTGTATACGCTCCTTACACGTATAGAGGCAATTTTGAACTCCCGTCCTCTCACCCCTATTAGCAACGACCCAAACGACCTTGAACCTTTAACCCCCGCACATTTTCTCGCAGGTGAAGCTCTGACCGCGGTCTTTGAGGGAGACGTTACGGACGTCAAGACAGGCCGTCTCTCTAGATGGCAACATGTCGAGCAACTACGTCAAAACTTCTGGCGAAGATGGACCCGAGAATATGTCCTCCAGCTGCAGAGGAGGTCCAAGTGGCAACAACCGGGCAACATCCCAACCATCGGGTCGCTTGTTCTTATCGCAGATGACGAGCTACCTCCATTGCGGTGGCACCTAGGGCGCGTCGCTGAATTACACTACGGCAAGGACGGTCTTCCCAGAGTGGCCTCGTTAAACACTAACGGGGGAATGATAAAACGTGCCGTCCACAAACTATGTCGTCTGCCCGTGGACAATGACGACACGAAAGTAGTTGTGACTGATTTTGAATGAGTTAGTAGTGCCGTTCTTCGCGGTGCATAGACTATCCTGGACTCAAATATCGCAATGAACTTCGGCAACGTACAAAGTGGCGAGTTCCAAAGAACCAGTTCAACGTGAAGCACTCGTAGTCCTAGAAGAGGATAATCTTCCACCATCACTGCGGAAGATGGGACGCATCCAGGACCTTCATCCCGATAGTGATGGTTGTGTTCGCGTAATAAGTGTGAAAACAAATAATGGTGTAGTGAAGCGTACGCTTAATAAAATATGTGTTTTACCGGTCGAATAATGGAGTAACAAGACTTAATAACGGACATGAGTACCTGTTATTTCTAACCATTTTCTGCCTATAATAATTTTTTCGTTTCATGTTTTCTTATATGTTATATGTTTGTGTTTATTCTGTATGTTAATTTAATCAAATCTTTTGTGCAGGATGCGCGCTATCTTTTCTCGTTCTGCAGTTTCGTTTATTTGGATTTATGTTTCCGTTTTGTTTATCCATGTGCATTTATTTATGTTCTACTGATTGTACAGTTGTTGTACAGTGCATGTTTGTTATCTTTATTTGTTTTGTCATGTACATGTTAACTCATTACCCAAGTTGTCATTTGAAAGTTACATCTTTCAACGGGGGGAGTATGTTCAGAGTTGCAGGTGTTCGTTGGCGGCGAACTCTTTGTCCCCCGGCGAATGATGATTGCTTCCGTTGGCGGTTGGTCTCTTTCATAAGACCGACCGACCGACTAAGGCAGCCGCCAGTCACACCGCCAACACCAAACGTGTAAGACCAAGTCGGTCAGCTACTTCCTTAAAAATAAAGCCTTGATTGTGATAAAAGCTGTTTAATTAATTCAGGTCCTTCGAAGCAACAAAATCGAATAGCCATAACACATTGGTTGTACGATACGAAACAAATGGCCCAACGAAAAAGTTCCCTTTTTGTGTCAAGATTTGCACCTGACATATCTGAGGAAACAATTTTAAATATAGTGAAAGAAGTGGCTCCGGAGGCTGTTTGTGAGAAACAAATAAGCAAATTTCCCGAATCATATTCATCTTTTAGAATCGATGTAAATCAGTCTAACTATGTAGTTGTAAGCAATCCTGAATTGTGGCCTGAAGGAACCTTCATCAGTAGGTTTTTTCGAAAAAACACTAATCAACCAAAGTAAGATGACATATCAAATAAATTTTCTATTCCTAAACATACAATCACTGCGTAATAAATGTGATGAGCTAGAAGTTTTTGTCAATGACACTAGTGGCAGTAACCTATTTTCAGTAATTGGTATTACTGAACACTGGCTAAGATCCTTTGAGATGGAGCACTGCAATATAGATAATTATATGATTCCATCATACTTCTGTCGACAAGGCCTCGGTTATGGAGGTTCACTTATTATGGCACATCAGTCTCTTGAATGCCGAATTCTTACTCAAATAACGGATCTTTCAATGGAAAAAATTTGTGAATTGTCTGCTATCCTCATCCCTCAAATCAAGTTAGTTGTAATTACCCTGTATCATGCGCCAAGTGGTGACTTTCAGGAGTTTCTCAACATTTTATCAGAATCCTTGACCTTGGTGGATACCGTCAACATGAACGTACTAGTTGGAGGTGACTTTAATGTGTTGTTCAATCCATGTGATAAAATTGTCAACTTCTTTGTAATTTAATGTTAAGTTTTGGCTTAATCCAGATGGTTCATTTTCCAACTCGACAAAATAACTGCATTGACAATGTTTTCTCTAATATCGACGTCTCTCTGTGTTCGGCATCACCAATAAATGTCACTACATCCGATCACCAAGGTATAAACTTCAGTTATGTGTCATCATATTGCAATCGGCAATCCTATTCTGCAGTATTAAAAACATATAGACCGATAACACAAGCGGGTAAAAGCAGGTTCTACCACCTATTAGAGAATGCTGATTGGACGTTTATCGATGATTTGAACACAGATTTGAATGTCAAATTTTCCACATTTACACAGATTATAGAAAAAAAATATGTTTATGCTTTTCCAGAAAAATGTATACAAAAAAACGGAAATAATCATGTCAAAATTAAATGGTTTACTGAAGAATTGTATGTAATGCGGGATAGACTAAAATATATAGACGATCTCTACAAATCTACAAATAACACTGATCGCGAATTAAGAGAGAAACGAAATATCTTAAGGTCGCACTATAGGCAGGCAATACAACAGGCTAAAACTGCTGCAAATAACAAATTTATTAATTGTGCTGTAAACAAAAACAAAGCTATGTGGAATGTTATCAATTCAAAAAATAAGCGTAGTGTTAGCAATAGATCCAACTGTGATATTGATGTGAATCATTTTAATGATCATTTTATTAATATAGCCTGTGATATTATAAATAGTTTACCACCTCCTACAGGTGATCCTTTAATGTTTATGTCTCAAAACATGTGTGATACTGACAAGAATTGTGATTATTTTACCTTTAGTGAGGTATCCATTTGCCACGTAAGAGATATCCTTCGTAGTTTAAAATCAAAAAAAGTTAAGGACATCTATGGCATGAGTGTAGAACTGTTGAAAGTAATAACTGATGTAATAATTAGCCCGTTAACTAAACTCATGAACATGTGCTTAAGAACAAATGTATTTCCAAACTGTCTGAAACGAAGCCTAGTTATCCCGATATATAAAAAGGGTGAAGCCAATGACAAAAACAACTATAGACCTATCTCGATATTACCAGTCTTCTCTAAAGTCTTGGAGAAAATTATGACCATACAACTTACTGCGTATTTTGAAGATAAAAAAGTTTTTACAGATAACCAATTTGGCTTTAGATCAGGTCGTTCTACTACCGAAGCACTCTTATCCTTTACCAACAATATATTGGGGGCATTTGACAGGGGCGAAGTAGTGATGGCAGAATTCCTTGACTTGTCGAAGGCCTTCGACTGTGTCAATTATACAACTCTACTACGAAAATTATTTTTCTACAACGTCCATCCAAACGGCTGTAAGCTTATAACTTCATTTTTGACCAACCGTACTCAAAGAGTTGTAGCCAATGGTAAATCATCTACTGATCTACCCCTACAAATAGGAGTACCCCAAGGTTCTATCATAGGTCCTTTACTTTTCTTTATCTTCATAAATGATTTTCCCGCGTATATAGGAAATGCAAATGTGGTATTATTTGCTGATGATACCACAATTACAACGGAAGGAGAAGATATAGGAAAAGTGCTGAGCTGTGGCCGGGAGACTCGACTGAGGGCCTCCGACTGGTTCAACAGTAATAGCCTAAAGGTAAACAAAAAAAAAAGCGTCGAGATGTTGTTCACCCTGAAGGATTATCCAAACGATTACGCCACCGAAACTAGCTTCCTGGGCCTAAAAATTGACTCCAAACTACTTTGGCATTACCATGGAGACTATCTCGAAAAAATGCTGAACAAAAAATTGTTTTTATTGAGAAATCTCAGCAAACATGTCTCTCGTGACACGCTGAAAACAGCATATTTCGGGTTAGTTCACTCAAGTCTAACTTATGGACTCGCTGTGTGGGGACATGCTTCGTGCCGCCACCGCGTTTTTGCTCTCCAGAGACGCGCTATTCGTATAGTCGCAAACCTGGGTTTTAGAGAGGACTGTAGAAATGCTTTTAAAGACTTAAAAATATTAACGCTTCCCTCTTTGTATATCCTTACTTGTGTAAATTATATTAAATCTAATTTAAGTTACTTCTCTTCGCATACTGACATACATGGTCACAATACAAGAAATAGGGATAAGCTATATAAGCAGAATATAAGACTCCGAAGAACGCAAACGGCATCCAGATTTTTTGGAGTGAAATTTTATAATATTTTGCCTACCGACATTAAATCACTGCCCCAAAAACTGTTTATAAATAAAGTTAAACAACATCTATTCAACGGTGCATTTTATGACACTGATGAATACCTTCAGTATTTCCTTCAATTCCAATAATTGTCGTGTATGATTGACCATTGCTTTATTGTAAGTTGATATGTGTTCTGTTATGTTTTGTTAACTTGACTTGTGTAAGACTATATTGTTAAAGCACCAATAAAGATTATTATTATTATTATTATAAGCGATCATCACTGTATATGCATAAGTAATCAAAGTTAAACATATACTGATAATATATTTTTGCCACTACTTTGTTTCGTTACCTTACTTCAGTCCACATATATCTTTATTTTAACTTACAGGATTAGGATTTATCATAAAAAAAATAATAAAATTAGCACAATTATATTGTGTTATGTTTCGAAGAAGTTGTATTTGTTCGACTGTACTTCAAGGGTGAGGAAATTTTTATTTATATGTATTTTGTTTAAATGTATTTTTGAAGACTTCTTTAAACGAAGTATTATTTCATCTTCCGAGTTCCTACGATTTTAGATATTTACACCTTTCTGCAAATTAATACAAATAATACAAATAAAAATAGAATAAAATAGAATAATTTTTCTAATGACCAATGAAAATCTTCAGTTTTATCATTTTTCCAGAAATCTTAGAAGTTACCATATACATAGCGATTTTTAACTTTTTACTTTCCGAGATTAAGCTAAAGAAGTATCTATATCTAGTAATCGAGTCCACCGCTGACCAAAATATGTCTGATGATTCCCACCACCACGTCATCCGCAAAATTTACTATAGTAAATGTTATTTAAATTTTATAAAATAACTTACTCCTCCACTTGTAGTTTATAAATCCGTGTTGCGTTTTTGCCCTAGGCATCCAGATTTTTGTAAAAAAAATCAAAATCGTATAACACTTTACAATGTAACTTTGAAATTGCAGAACTGAATGCTCTAAAAACGTTTGAAGATTATCGGAAACATGGTAAATCGTTAATCAAAATTTATCCGTTTACGACCCCCCTAAAAAATGATGACGTCATAATAAAATTTTGCCAAATTAATCGTATCTAAAAAGTGCAAAATATAATGAGTCTATAGTTGTGCAAAGTGATT